TCCTTGGGAAAACAAGAATTTTCATACTGCAGCTGAAGGTGAGTCTTCCAGCAGCTGGTCCATGTCTACCTTTCCAGCCCTGTGTTCTGATGCGGATGTTACTTCTAACCATCTCGACTCAGTACTCCAAATTCTAGCAGGAATAGCCTTCTGATGACTTTGGCAAATGCTCCTCGTCTTTTAAAACCCAGCTCTGTTATCACCACCCCCAACAACGTCGCCAAAGCAAGTCCAGATGCCCCTTCTCCTATGTAGCCTGATACGAGGCTCATCTCTCTACCTTCTACCTGCTTCGTGAAACACTGTACGGTTCAAAGACAGAAGAGGCTACCAGCCAAAATCTCGCAATAGCTGGAGATCAAAATTGTGTCGGATCCTAACGACATCATCAGAAACCACCGTGCTCTCCGATTTGGAGTGAACACATTATTGTCCACAACGCGGGAGAAATGGACCAGTGAGAAATCAGTCTCCTAGGCAGCAACACGTCCGTAAAGACCCTGCCAAGGCTCTCCAAGCCCAGAAATCCGGCAGCATCTCTTGGCGCCACTTTTCCTCTTTCCCTCCGCTCTGACAGCCTACCTCCCTCCACTGCCTGCTGACAAAGCCCACGTCATAGCCTCTGTGGGAATGGATCCACCCAGACAAGGGCTCACCAGAGTCTTCAGAACACAGTCAAGGTTCCTTCCTAGCCAATTCACTGCATCCCCACCTTGCCGGGGACGCACTGGCCTTATATTTATACCAGGTCTACTCTAGTTTAAGAGTTTTCACCCCAGACGTTATCCCTCTTGTCTTGATAGCCACGGTTTTCCCCTGTGAGGGTTTACTGACCTGCAGTAAGTTCCGATTTCCCCGATCTTCTTTTATGACAAAGCTCAACTTAAAGTGTTCCACCCTTCCACCGAGCCAGGCTTTATCTCTACCACCTGCCCTGCTGTTAGAGATACCAAGGGCTCCACATCACAGATCCCCACGCCCCATCAGTAGCATTGGCTCAGCTGATCAAGCCCTGCTCTTCAAAATTGGTTCTTTCACTTGGCTCCCAGCATACTGTGCTCCTTTGTCACGGCTGCTCCTTGGTTTCACTGGCTGGGTCTTCCTCATTGTCTTTACCTTCCCAACCTCTGACCTCTAAATGTTGGATTACTCCAGATCCTAATCCACAAGTCTCCCCCACCCCACTCCAGGATCACTCTCCAAAATTTTAATGCCTGTATCTCATTATAGCTCAACTTTTTCACTTAGCTGGCTGGGAGATGCCCCAAACCGACTGCTTGAGTTTCCCTCCTATACCCACTCCTTCTGTAGTCTTACCGCACTAAATAGAATCTCCACTGACTGAGCCACTCAGTCCCCAGCCCAGAATTTCCTGAATTCTTTTCCTTCACATTCTACAATGGGATCGTCAGTAAATCCTGCCCGATTCCTTTGTGAACATATCTGGATCCCAGCTGCGACCTCCTCCGCCCATCCCAATGCCTCCTACCTGCTCTTTCTGCTTCCGTTCCTGTCTTCCCTCTGCCAAGCAAACAGAGTGACTCTTAGGATCTGAAGCCAGGCCCACAGAAGCTCTTGCATCTTTCCATCTGCTCCAGTATGTCAGGACCCATGCTCTGTCCTCGCCAGGAGGCTGGGCAGGAACGTCCCCAAAGAATGTCTGCTCCAGGGAGAATGAGATCAGAAAGTAAGAGACCAAAGGGCTGGTCAGAGCTCTGAGACTTTGCCTCCTGCGAAAGCCTGCCGGTTCTCCCCAACACACACACACACACACACACACACACACACACACACACACTATCGTGCCTGCTACTCTCCATTCTGTTCTCAGGCCTTGGGGCTTCTTGGATGTTTTATTCCAAGGAAGAGTGCTAAGTTTACCTCACCCAAAGATCTTTGTGTCACTCAGGACAAGTTGTAGGGACCATCCTCTTGTTGCACGCACATCTCATCTTGAAAGTTCCTTCATTTAGGAGACTTATTTGACTCAGTCGTCTAACCTAAGGGTAGCATCAACCCCATCACTCCTGGGATTGCTTAACCCCAGCCACTGTAACACACAGCCTGACTGCACAGAAGGAGTTTGGTTCACCCCCAGACACTGTAACACACAACCTGACTCACAGTGTGGAGTCCAGTTCACCCCAGACACTGTAACACACAGCCTGACTGCACAGATGGAGTTCGGTTCACCCCAAGACACTGTAACACACAACCTAACTCACAGCAGGAGTTGGGCTCTGTCTTTCTCTGTCCCCATTGCATTAGGAACTTGGTTCCACGTAACAGGTGTTTCGACAACTGCTGTACCGACCACGTTCTCACCTCCTCAAATGCCACCATCCCCCCTGTGTCACCCCTGTATTGCTGTGGTTAGGTTGCATAGTTTAGACACACTTCCTAACATCTGGTTTTGAGGGATAATTTCGAGGAGCTGGTCTCAGTGGGAACCCCTCCTCAGCAGAGCTCCCTTAGGTAACTTGGCTCCTCCTAGATTTAGAGTTGATGCTCTTGCCCTGAGCCCCCACTTGTTTCTGTTATGACATTGCCCTGCTGTGTCTCATTCAAGGTACCACATTTAAAATTCTGCCTCCTATTTTCCTTTAAGGAAAACCACTACATTGTCTCCATACCTTCAAGCCCTACCCTACATAGCGCCTTTCTTCCTTCAGGCCTTTGCTTGGTGCACATATTACTTTTTCCTTCTTAACCCTTAGAATAAACCACTCTTAGAAAAAAGTTCGTTTTCAGGGTCAAACACACAGGTAATTGTAAGGGGGGGGAGGGAGAAACGCTGATCTAAAACGCTTGAATGTTCCAGGCATGGGAAATAAATTGACCTCTACTCAGGTTACTGGCAGGAATACACGGGGAGAAAATCTTACATCTGTTTCCCATTGTACATGCCCAAAGGGCACACCCCAGAGATTGGTCCACAAGCATGATGAAGGTGCTGAGGCTGCCTACAGCCTGGCCTCTGTGGCAGTCCTGGGGAAAGTCTATCCAGGACTTGACTTACCGTTACTATTTCATGCCTATTTCGGAGTATGGCTTCTGGAGTTTGATTCAAAGAACTTCCTTCTAACTACTGAAAATAAAAATAGAACAACTAACTCCCTATGAGTCTTCTTCAAGCTCCCCAAACACAAAGATTGTGTCTTCTTCACAGACATAGAAGAAAATATTTTGGAATTGGATAGAACCTTGAAGACAAGACACCCTCTGCAAATGACTTACCTCCAAAACCTCTTGCCATTTAAAATTTCCATTTGCTCTTTTTAGGTGTGTAAACTAAAGTAAAGCACGTATCAGCCGTTGTTGTAACTCTCTAAATCTAGAAAAGTTGGCAGCAGTAACCCCCTTGCTTACCTTCCTTACACTGATGTCTCTGGGACACTACACAGCCTAGCAGACAGGGCAGGCTCAGTAAGAAATGCCTTGAACATTCTCCTTGGAAAGGTTCTCCAGCCTGGCTCCTGTAAGGAAACATTTATTGATGCTATTAAAATGCACAAAGCTTTTAACCAATACATGTTTGGAAGAATGAAGATCAGCAGCAGAAACACTCAGGGCTGTGAGACACCATGCCAGGCTCCAGGCCAGGATCAGAGAGGGTTCCGTCCTTGCCAGCAGGTTGGGCAGGAACTTTCCCATGCAGAGTGTTTGTTTCAAGAGGACAAGATGAGAAACCAAGAAACCAAAGGCACCGTCTGAAAGCCAGGTTAGCAGGAACTGTAGAGTCGGGGTTCTCATGAGAGGGGGGGCTGCAGTTAAAAAAACAGCTCGGCACCACCCTCCTGCATGGGGCCCTTGCATATTGACACACACACACATCCCCAATGGAGTCTTTCAAAAACTGAGCCCTCAAGTGAGACCGGCGGGCCGGAGCGACACTTTTGATGATATCACAAGACTCCCAGAGCGAAGCTTCCTGGCTTCCTCAGCATATGCCAGTGCCCATTTCACAGGGCGGATTTATGATCCTTCTCTCAGCAGAGCCAGCCGAAGTTTTATAATCTTCATTAAAAACCAGCACCACGTGTAATAATACGAAACACTGCCTTACACAGGGGGGCAAGTTATAGGTGCTTAGGGAAACATGGCGGTTTCCTGGCCTTGGCAAGGGGTAAAGTTGCACTAACACAACCTTATTTTACTGCGAATGTAGGTACAGCCTGCGCCCTAATTACTGTCTTTAAATTTTCAACCACCACCAAGACTTCTGCCATCAAACTTAAAGGGCAGCAGCACCCTGACAGCGGCGTTCAGAGGGGCAAGCTAGGGACAGCAGCTGCGACTCAATGGGAGCTAAGGCTAGGATGAAAAGGGGCTCCTTTAGACTAGTCAACAGACAGTGTGTGGGGGTTAGAGGCCCCCTTAAAGGGGTAGGCCTTTGAAGGACCCTCTTGGGTAGGGAGCCTCTCTGTCAAGGCCCACTTCTCGTAAAAGGGGGCCAGCTCAGCTTTCCAGGGGTCCTTAGCTCATCTTGTCCTGCTCCATCACGGAAACTGCATAGTCAGCCCCCGAACTGTTTCTCCCTTTGATGAAGTGCCCATGGCTCTGGCAACCTCCTCACGTGCCACACTGGCCTTCGTCGCTATCGTGACCCCACTAGCCCCACAACCCCTGATTCTCAATGCCGGAGCAAGGCTAGGCGGAGCAAGGCAGTCTTCCGTGAGGGAAAGACAGGATTCTGAGGCCCGCGCGGCCAGCACAAAGCCGGGAGACCGGCGTCCGCGGCGGCGACAGGCGCGCCCCCCTCCCCGAGCCAGCCGGCGAAGCGCGCGCCCGCTCGCCCGCCCGGGCCCGAGCCCCGGGAGCGCCATTCGCGGAGCGGCTTACGCCAGTCACCCGGCGTACGGCGCCCCAGCGGCCGGGGAGGTGCGCTGCCCGGCTCCCGTAAAGTTATTGTGAATGGGGAGCGGGTGACGTCAGCGCCGAATGTCAACAATGTAGCGATTGAGAGTGTGGGCGTTCCGGGAGAGCGCGAGCCGCGCAGCGCAGCCAGCAGCCCCGCCGCCGCCGCCTCAGCAGCAGCCCCGCGGCCGCGCACCGGGCTGCGGTCGCCCCCCGCGCCCCGCTTCACCCGCCGCTCCTCCCTCACGGCCCGCCCCCCTCCGTCGCCCCCGCCGCACGCGTCGCTCCCCTCCCCCTTCCCGGACTCGGGGGGCTGCGAGCGAGCTGCCATGTGATGCGCATCCCCTCCGCCTGCTCTCGGTGACCCCAGGACCGCCCACCACGCCGGCGGCCGGGAGGGGGCTGCGGGCTGGGAAGACGCGGGCAAGACCGGCGCAGGAGGACCAAAGTTCCCGGGAAGGTGAGTGCCCAACGGGCCGCGGGCCACGGCGACGCAGCGGGGCAAGTTTGCGCGGGGAGCGGGCTCGCGGGGCAGGGGGTGGCTTGGGGCCGCGGCGGACAGCGAGTCCGGGGCCGCTCCCCGCCCACGGCCGCCTTATGGCATTTTCTAGGAACGGGAAGGGGGGTGGGAGCCGAGCGGAGGACGCGGCGGCGGGGCGCGCTCTCCCGCCTGCCTGTTTACGGCGGGCGAGGCGGCATTGTATTTTGCTCGCGTCGCCTGGTGTTTTGGAACAGCAGGGGGAGGAGGAGCCCAGGGTAATAAGTCAGTCGCGGGGCGGGAGAGCGGGTGGGGAGAGGAGCGGAGCCCGAGCCGCAGCAGCTGTCAGACCCACGGCCCTGCCTCCGGCCCCAGCCCGCGCTCCGGCCAGCCCGGGTGGCCGGTCTCTGCCCACCGCACCCGCGCGCGCGGCCCTTCCGCGGAGACCGAGGCTCTGCGGCTCCGCGCTCAGCTGTCAGCTGCCGCAGGGTGGCTCGGAGGACCGCGCCGGGCGCTAGAACAAGGCAGCCAGGGGTCCCGGGCGCAGACGTGCCCAGTGGAGCTCATGGCTTCCGAGAGGGACACCTTGCAACCCGTATCTTGCCAAGGTCCAACAACACACACCCACACCTGTATTCTAGTCTCCGACCCCAGGGCTCCACCCAGGAGACCAGTTTAAGGAAGGGACAACTCGGCTGCACCTCCCCACGCCGCGGCCTTCTCTGAGGGTCTCGCGGTTCGCCCAACCGCTGGGTGTTCGGGAGTCTAGCCGCACGGAGAGGGCGGCGGGCGGCGCTCATGGACTACCCCAGGTACCCGCGAGAGGGGACTCGACGGAGCATCTGGGCGACCTCGAGCTGGGCGAGGATTTGCAGGAACTTAGAGGAAACCCGCAGGGTGGCGTGTGTCTGAAGGGTCGCACACCCCTGGCCCCGGGGGTCATGGACACATAGAGTCTCTCTCGCCTGCGTTCTCTTGCATACATGAAAGTTTGGCAACTTGGACGAAGTTCCTGTAATGCTGTGGTACGGGTGGTTTTGTGTGTGACCCAACAAGGTGCTCCTCGCATTCCGCGGGTCCAGCCACTGCTGTTACTGCCTCCGGGAACAAGAGGGACTGGGGCATCCCACCTACGAGACTCAGATGTGACTTGCGGCGGGCTCGTGGGCGGCCAGGCGACGTGTTTCTGGATTTTCACCTTCACTGTCTAGTGTCATAGTCTCTTTGTTAATTTCATCTACTGAGTGTATTTAACTAAAAAGGGTAATTACTTCAGATTAAAAAAAAAAAAAAACAACCAACCCTTCCCTGCCTAGTGGGAACCTTGGCGGAGATGCCTAATGAGATTTTCTCCTTTTTTCTCTTTCTTTTTCTCTTTCTTTTTCTTTCTTTCTTTCTTTCTTCCTTCCTTCCTTTCTTTCTTTCTTTCTTTCTTTCTTTTTCTGTCTTTCTTTTTTGCTTTCATCTGTTTAGAGTAAAATTAGAGATGTTAACTCTGATAACCGTTTCCTCAGATCATTAAAATGTAACACGTAGGAAATTGTCGCGCCGGCAAAGCTCTGGCTGACTGGAAAAGCTAAGCTTGAACCGCTGTTTGCTACTCCTCCAGTAGAGATGGCTATTTCCGCCAGGCAGCGGGCCACTTGCTTAAAACGTGAGTGAGTGAGGTCATCCCATCCTGGGCCTCCAGCCGCTTACCAGTGGACCGCCCTTTTCATTCTTGAAGGTAATACACATAGTGGAGGGAAGAAAGACAGCTTGTTAGAATGAGCCTTGCTAATTCACTGTGTTGCAGGCAAAATGCTCCAATGAAAGATCTGTCAGTGTCTCTATTGTGATTCAGTTTTCCAGGCGCTCAGAATCATCACCAAACTTTGAATGGCTTCTAGTGTTCTGGTCTTAAAAATTATTCCCCTCTTTGGCTCTATTTGCCATTTCTGAACCGCCCCCCCCAGTCATTTCAAATGAAGGCAGGCAGGCAGGTACCAGAAATGAAATATGCAACCACCAAATGAAGTAGTTTGGTTTATATTTACATTGTTGAATTTTAGTAGGCTTTCAGGTTTGCCGTGAGGTAATCTAAACGTTTGAGGAAATTCTTCTGATATCTATCTGTCCATTCTGCAAGTGGGTTGACATTTCAGTTCCTAGAGATGTGTTTTCCTCAGGCGTGCGAGTCCCTAAGCTCTAGCTGGATGAGAAGCACCCCTGTGCTTTTATTTTCTATTCCTAGTGCTTTGTATGGCTGCATCTCAGAGTCTGCCATGGAACGAGAGTGAGGCAGAAAGGGATGGAGGGGATGAGATGTCCCCTAATTTACTCTCTGCGCTACCAGCGCCGGGGAGGATGGCCTGTATTCTCTCTCTATTGAATTATGCCCTTTGACTCAGAATCTCCAGGCAATTCCCTTCCAGTCACTCACCTCTGGCTGCTGTGTGAGGGGCTTAATTATTTGCAAACCGCCTCGAAATCCCAGGATGAAAGGCACCGAATAAAGTGCAAAGTATTGTTATTCAGATATGGAATTTAATGATCCATTACAGTTCATCAGGAAAATGCACTTTGCCGTGATGGGAGGAAATGTTTCCACCTGATAGAGGGTAATAATAAGTGCTTAAAAGTAGGTTCAGATTACAGATGAGACAATTAACTCCAGCCATGTGCTCTTCAATTTTGTTGCAATTCATTTTGTGATCAAAGTGAGTTACAGAGAGCCAGATGGTCAGGTTCATGTTCAAATCTCTCTCAAGCCAGCCCTGCACTTCTGTGCCCACAGTCAGCATAGCCGAAGGGACTTAGTAATTCATTAGTGATTGTGAGCTATTCCGCAGAGCTTGTAATCGAGGCTCCTGTGATGCCAGCAGAAGGACCCGGGCCAATCAGTTTTGTTGGGAGCTGTTTAGTTTTACTTGGATTAGCTCTTGCTTAGCGCCTCTGGTATGGATCCATTCTTCACAAGGGGGAAGGAGACCCTGGATCTCTCAAGCCTTGCTGTGGAGCTACACTGCTCTGGATTTTAAACCTCAGGTTTCAGGGGAGTAGTATCTGGTTCGCTTCAGATACTGGCCGGACTGTTGAATGAATGAGGCAGTGCTTAGGTGAATTAGCACCTTGCAGTTCCTCTGGGAGAGTGTGGGGGTGGATATAGGAGTAGGTTGGTGAGGGCGGGTCAAGAGCAGGGGCAGCCTCAGAGGCAAGGACCAGTGTCTGCACACTGCTCTACCCCCTTGTGCTCAGAGGGCCCTCACGCCTGCTTTAAAACTATGTCTTATGTCTCAGAATCTTGAGTCATAGATAAAAGGACCTCATTCCTTTTTCCACAGTATACCTCAGACGGTGTATATGGTCCAGGTGAGGAGAGGCCAGAGAGGAGCCACATCTTTCTCAGCCCTTGTCTGCTGTTGCCAGGCAGGATGAGTCGAAATGCTGGCTCTGGAATGCCAGGTCCTTTGCCTCTTCCAGATTGTTATGTGGAATCCTCTATCCTAAAGTGTTATTGAGGATGTCTTTAAAAACAGGGGCTGGGTCAGAGAGATAGTGCGGTGGATAAAGGCACTAGGCCGCCAAGTTTGACTAGCCTGAGAACGAGTTTGGAGGAAACCAATTTCAGAAAGTTGTACTCTGTTCATGCCTGCATCTGTGTGTGTGTGGGGGGGGTGTATAGTAAATAAATAAATAAGATCATTTTTAAAGCTCAGACCGTCCTTCAGGTGGCCTATTTTCCACCACCGAGTATACTAAAACATCTTATTAAGACTTTCACCCTTTCCCAATCCCTAAAGTCTGTCCCGTGGTAGGTAATTTGCTCATGTGTACCAAAAGAGTAGTGACAGAGTGATCAGGAAAACAGAAAGGCTTGAGAAAAAATGAAAGTCTAAATCAACTCTGGATCTCATTATGTGATTTTGCCACCTTCCTTTTTTAATGGAAAATTCAATCTGAAATACTGCGTGCACAGTGTTACCCTCCAGGTGGGTAACCCATTGTTTGTGAACTGCTCGGACTCTTCCACTTGTTGCTGAGTGTAGCGGAGTGACTCATTTAATGTCCGGAGACTTCCATATACGTTTGGCATTTGAGAACACGATTCAAACACTGGGTTTGATTTATTAATTGTTCGTGTCATAGTACTTAGTACTATGTACATAGATAGTACTTAGTACATAGGTAGTACTTCTCCTGCTCCTGTCTCAGTGACTCCTAGAACAATCTATGAAGTAAGCATTGTGCCGGCTCTTTCCAATTGGCAAGCTCCAATCGGAACTTTATCTTGAGTGTCTGCCCACGGGCTGCACAGTGAATACAGCCCAACACAAAACTGTAAATTGGCTTCAAACCTTAGGAGCATTTTTTTATTTTAGAATCTCCACCGGGAGGTCCTCACCAGTGAATAGTGTCAATGTTGGGATGTCAGAAGGTGGTTGGACTTGCTTGAGGGTTGTTTTCCCACCTGAAATACAGAGTCCGGCCCCAAGTCAGTGACTAGATTGCACTGTGGTAAGATGTGGGGCTTTAGCACAGAGAGAACGCAACCTCAGTCCTCAGAGACACAGAGCAGTGAGCAGTACAGATGGAAGGTGTTTGTCCACGCATGCTGTTCAGGCACCAAAACCTCTTCTGCGCCTCCCAGTCTGGTTATTGCAGAAGCTGCGGTGACATCAGGGCCTAGCACAGGCACTCAGGGTTCAGGAGTCAGGGCTGATGCCAATCCCTGGAATGTCTGTGAGGGGCTTCTGGCAGAACTGTGGCTGCATTAGAATAAGCACCACCAACCATGGTACTGAGAGAGAAAATTCTGTCTAGCCAGTGACAATACACCACAGTATACTTAATACCTATTAACTCTCTATGGGAATATTTACAAATTGGACACAATGTGGAGTAAACGTTTTGTAAATTCAGTCAGGTTGCTCAAAATAATTAAACTCATTTTCTTTTTTCTGTTTGGTTTGGTCTAAGAAATACTTAACAGAAAAGTTATT